CAGCCCGCGTGGCGCCCCGGCCCTTTTATTCCGGGCCGTGATTGGACAAGTGCCTCCCGCGGAGTTGGTTTGCAGCAGTTTTGTTGCGCCCAGATTTCGCTCGCTGCTCAAAGCGAGCCTCTGGCGGGACGAGGCATCTGCTGCCTCACCTTCCTCATTTACACTTCTCCGCCCTCGCACACACACTCAGCTCGATTCACCGCCTTTCCAGGCCTCTCTGTCACGAGTCGGAACTGAGGAGGGGGAGAGAAATGAGAACAAAGTGAAGGTGCAGAGTGAGGAGCAGCGTGGCATGTTTAATCGAGTTCTGTGCGAAGTTTTGCATAGGAGGGTCGCAGCAGATGGTCACGAGATCTGTCTCCAAGACTGTCTCTGAGTGTCCATCTTAGGATTTTAGAGTCTCAGAGAGAAGAACAAAAATACAAAAATTACTTCCATCTTAAATTGTCATTTTGTTTGTTTCTTCAATACTTTCTTCAATAAACTACATCATTTATCATTATCATCATCATATCAACTTCAGTGGTTAATATCAAATCCATCAGCTAAACCAACTTGTTTTACTCTTTGACAAAATGTTGTGACATCAAAGTGGGAAAGGATATAATCAATGACGTTTTATACCAACAGGAGAAAGATATCTTAGTCAAACCTTTAATGTCATTTCTGCTTTCAAAACTTCATAAATTTTATTTTTTTATGCAAAACGTCCAAAATTAAATAGTTGTTTTTTTGTGTTGTTTGAAGGACACAAGTCTAATTCAACCTGAATCTGAAGTAGCAAAATGACACTTCTTAGGTCTTTAGACATGAGAAATTAGTAAGTACATCAAAAACAAAAGTATAAATGGGTAAAACGTTAAAGGTAAGGTGTGATGTGGCGGCTCAAATAACTTCTTTTTTCATATTTCAGACAAGTTTCATTAATCCAGGCCCATCTACTTTACTGGCATTGGGTTTTCATTAGCAAGTTTGTTTTTCAGCTCTATGTCAGTGAATGAGATTTTATGAACTGTTCTTTTCACCCTGAACCCTAAGTTTGGTGAGAGTAACCATCCTACTAATGTTTTTGACCAGCTCCGTTCTCTGCTGTCACTCTCATGAACATGAATGCCTGATTTCATGGGGATAACAGAACCGGTGGAAGATTTGGTGCCTTGCAGATACCGAACTTATCCCGAACCAAAGTAGGCGGCCAGCCATGAATCCCTAACGCATGCAAATGCACAACCACCACTCGTTTCTGTCTGGCATGTGTGGGGACAGAAGTTATGCTGGTCGCTTTTTCAGGATGGCCTTTGGGATGTGCGAACACAACAAAGGGAAGATACGAGGCCGGATGGAGGCAAGAAAAGGAGGAAAGAAAGTAAAGAAAGACTGGAGCAAACAAACAAACCAAACTTTGTAAAGCCCTCTGCTGGGCTGGGGCCGGGACTGGAGCGAGTGTGTGCGCACACGCGAGGCGATGTGAACAGAGTGCTGGGGATTAGGACAGATCCTGGGCTGTCCAACTCACAGCTGGCTGATGATCCAATCCTGGAGCACAGCGCAGCGCACCAGCCGCCGTGGGACCCCCGCGTGCGTGCCTGCATCTGCGGGTGTGTGAGAGCCTGTGTGTGCAGGCATGTGGGTTCAACTGATGTGCATATCAGCGTGCAAGTCTGTGGAAATGCTCTTGAACAAATACACGCGCAAGTGTGAGTTTGCACAGTGAGGAAGGGAGGGCTAATAAAATTTAAATAGCTGCCTATGCTTCTGTCCACTATTTGGAGGCCAGCTATGATCACTCGGCTCATGAATGGGGAGTGGAATGAAAGAGGGGAGGGAAGAAGTTGCAAAAAGATAATCAAAATCCTGCTTTTGAACTCGGAGGCTGATAAAATAAATGGCTTCCAGCTTAGCTGCAGTGGATCTCACACTCCTGCTACAATCCGCACAGCAATGCATACGAGCCCTCTAAAGCTACAAATGCTCACAAAGGCTTTGTAGATGGCAAGAACAGAGGGCATGAGTATGAATAAAGTGAATGTGTTCCCCAAAAACCTTTATAAAAACAGAGAAGAGGAGGAAGAAATACAGCATTGCTATGGCAATAGATCGTGACTGGTTGTGTGTTTAAGGTCGACGTCCTGCAGGAAGGTGAACCTTTCCCTTAGTTTCAAGTCTTTTGTCATTTCGAACAGGTTTTCTTCCAGGATTTCCCTTTATTTAGCTTAATTCATTTTCCCATTAGCTCTGAACAGCTTTGCTGAACCTGCTTTAGAAAAATCTCCCCACATCATGATGCTGCTGCCACCACCATGTTTCACTGTGTCAAGGAAAGAGTCATCACAATATGTGCAGTGTACATTTTCCTTCAGTTGCAGGATTTTGCATAAAGGCCAAAAGTTCATCTCAGGCCCCAACTAACCAGATCATTTTCTTTTTCTTCTACACGTTTCTAATGGTTTTCTTTCTTGTGAAGTCCATTAATGATAGTTATCCTAAATTCTCTAACCTGAGATGTGGACCTCAGCCCCCGAGTCCTTCACCCAGGTTTATACGTTTGACCTACTTTTTGTAGGTGTAACATATTTAATGATTTAAATGAAATGCATTAAATCTAATTGTTGTGATGTGATAAAATGAAACAGTTTAAGAGATGACTTTCTGACCTGGGCCCTACATTCACTCATTAATGAATCAGTTTCAGGTGGAATGGGTCGGTATTACTAAAGATGGGCTAGTTGGACACTTTCAGGTTAAAGAAAAACCAAAAACAAAAATTAACTCCCAAATTTACGGCCAGCTTTCATAATACATTTTCCCTCAAGCAGTAGGACATAAAATAAAGTCTTCATTTTTTTTTTTTTAGAAACAACATGATGTCGACACCTCTAGAAACAGAAACTGGATGAACAGAAGCATTTTAATAATGTTTGAAAAGAACGGAGTGGCATCGTAATCCCACTCTCCATTTGTTGCCCTGTAAACAGATATGTTCCCAACACAGACAAAAACTTTAACTGTTAGGTAACAAAATTAATCCACAAAAATAAAACTTGCCTAATTAGTGTGCATTGTAAATTTATATAGGGTGTTTAATATGCAATTTAAATGTACTGAATGTAAGATTTGAGACTTGTTCTGTCAATTTATCCAATTAACTCATAAAAATACTCAACTACTTAAAAAAAACCTGGCCGGTCACCGTATAGTTTACGTTTCTTATGTGCACAAAATGCAGGAAGAAAAGGTTAAACAGCAACACATGGATACAAAATGGGGTCGTGTTTCTGAAAAGGTAAACTTGTCCAAGCCCAGGTTTGTCGGATTTTGATTGATGTGATTTCCATGTTTTAAATGTTGCACTGATTTGTTTAAAACACAAGAATAATAAGTTGTTAAAAGAGAAATACTTTAACATAAATTAAAATTAGAAGTGGCCTTTGCTTATAATGACCAAAATTGAATTTTAATGGCTGCATGCAAGGCCAAGTCAACAGCTGTCAAACACCTAGTACGCGTCTGAGGACAGATAAAACTATAAACTCTCTCATGCACATACTGACACACGCGGCGTAAAACGCTTCAGTACAGTGGCTCCTCCAATGCAGGTCAAAGTCATTGTGCTTGCCACATTAATATGCACATCATTCTCCACAGCTGGTGGAAAAATCACACACCCACACTCTCACACACACCGTTCGTTTCAGGCTTTAAACGCACAAGAGCCCACCATGGAGCCAATGTGTAAGTGCTGGCAAGCTGACAGCCCAACACACTTTAGCACAGATTAGAGCAAGAAGCTGAAGCGGACGCCGACACACACGCACCAACACACAAACGCACACCGATCACGCAAACTAGCACCCCACAGCCCCCAGCACCACAGGACACTTCTGCCACATCTGTGCCCATCTCACACACGTCGGCTGTGGGCAACGGGGGCGAGACAGAGTCCTGAGTGGCTGGCGTGGTCTGGCAGAGCTTGGCAGGGAATGGAGAGGGGGAAACAGAAGCCGGCAGAGGACAGGAGAAACAGAGAGAAAAGAAAGAAAAGGAAAGGAAAGGAAAAGAAAGGAAAGGAAAGGAAAGGAAAGAAAAGGAAAGGAAAGGAAAGGAAAGGAAAGGAAAGGAAAGGAAAGGGGAAGGGGAAGGGCAAAGAAAAGGAGAGGGAAAAGAGAAAGGTAAGGGAAAAGTGTGTAGTAGTTCAAGTGAAATAATTACTCCTTTTATTTTAATCATAGGAGAGGTTTAAGTTATTAAGGAGCATGAGGAAGAATCTCAAAATGTAAAAAACATTGAGCTGGAAGAGGAAAAAACAGATAATCATTCAGATAAATATGTGGAATAAACATCTAAAAACAATATCTGAGGAATTAGGAGGTAAGGAAAAAAAATACAGAAGGAAAACAGACAGAGAGGGCCGGTAGCGCCCGCAGCGAGGACGGGTGCAGAGCTCAGGCGGGTGGCACGGAGGCCAGGCTGTCCAGTGACCATCAGCCGCACTGTTGTGCTTGTGTGTGTTGAGGCGTGTGTGTGTGTGTGTGTGTGTGTGTGTGCGCGCCAGGGATAGGAGAAAGGCTTAGGCGACATTTTGGCTCTGCTGGAGCTGCTGCTGGGCTGGGCACTGGCCTGGTGGCACGAAGCGGTGCGTGTGCGTGTGTGTGAGCGTGTTTATTGCATTATGTTGTGGCATGCTTAACAGGATTAGAGGTGACCTAGTGAGGTCCAGTTGGTACCGGGACCGCCACACAGCGGCGCGCATGCACATTTGTGTGTGTGGCTCGTATAATAGGATTAACCGTTACCTGGTGCGGTACAGTTGGTGTGCTGGTCTGAACTGGACTGGGCTGAGCTGGGCAGGAGCTGGGCAGAGGGGAGTGCTGTGTGCCCGTGTGTGTGTGTGTGTGTGTGTGCGTGCGTGCGTTCATGTGTGTGTGTGCGTGTGTGTCTGTGTGTGTGTGCACGAGTGTGTGTGTGAGTGTGGTGGCATGTATAATAGGATTAGGTACTACCTGGTGAGGTGCAGTTGGCGCTGGGCATTTGCCAGCTGTTCTTCCAGGCTCAGAGATTTGGACTGCCATTGGCTCCCAACCCTTTGGGCCGCCTCCAAACGCTGCCGACAGCAAACCAGCTCTGAGCTCAGACTTTCCACTTCCTGTCCCACAGAGAGGGAAGAAGAGGAGTTAGCGGAGGTGAGGAAATTTTTCACAACACCCGTCTTCTGCCGTCACACATTAAACACAATAAGCCAAGATTACAAACTCATGAAGACTTGATAAGTCAAGATGACAAATAATGGTGTTACGATGCACATATTTCATAAGAAACAAATAAAAGCAATAGATGAGTTCTACCAAAACTATTTAACTTCCAACTCCCACAATAACAGAGGAAGAAAACTGTGACCAGGATTAGAGATAAACTACAAATAAAGTCTGAATAAGAGTATAGACTAGGCGGAAAGTACTTGATGTCCCTGCATGTGGTGGATAAACAGAAAGTCACTGTTAGGGGAGATGTCTGTTCACAAACTGCTGTGTCCAAGCCAAGTTGTATGGTAGGAAAACATCGATAGTTATGTCCGGAGGAACACTGGAGAGGCAAACAATCCACGTTGCCTGAGGTCTAGAGAGACATTTCTGATGATTTAGGAAACAATGTCATCTGCTGGTGTTGGTCTCCTTGTTTGATCGAGTTCACAGTCGAAGCAGCCGTCTAATTTCATGGTTCCCTCTACTGACAACCTTTATGGGATTCTGATTTAGTTTTCCAGCTGGGATAAACACCTGCCCACACTGCCAAAGGTACCAACACCTGCTTTAAGCATAACAGTGTTACTGTGCTTGATTAGCCAGCAAGACAGCCTGATCTAAACTCCACAGTTTAGAGAAGCTATAAAGTATTTTCAAGGGGAAGATGTGAGATCAACAGTGAAGACAAGCTGAAGGCACATGGGTTTCCTTAGCACCTTTTACAATGAATCACTGACATAAATTAACTTTCTGCTGATTGCCTATTATTTTAAGATTAACCTTGAATTTTATGCACAATATTAAAAGTTTCAAAATAATTGCATGCCATCCCCTGGATGAGTTTTTGTGGTGACTGTGGGTCTGTGGGTTGAGTCGTCGTCTTGCGATCGGAAGGTTGTAGGTTTGATTCCTCCTGCCACATGTCAATGTGCCTCTGGGCAACAAGACACTTAACCCTAAATTACCTACCGATCCGTGTAAATGTGTGTGTTTGAAAGTGTGAATGGGTGAATGTGACTCTAGTGTAAAGCGCTTTGAGTGGTCAAAATGTTTGGAAAAGCGCTATATAAGTTCAGTCCATTTACTGTTTTATGCTACAATTATTAGCTGAAATGATCAATTATTTTAACTCATCTGCTGTTAAAACAACATATATAAAATAGTAAATTCAGAGGCAGGATGGAAACTTACCTGTGCAGCTTTTTCGTTCTGCCTGCTCGTCTTGGCCTTCAGCTCTCTGAGCTCTCGCTCAGCCTCCTCTTTCTTCAGGCTGGCATTGCTAAGCTGATACCGCAGATCCACACATACCTGGAGAAGACAGCAAAACGATCAGGTTTTACAACACCGCCACTGATTTATAATTAAAATTAACTGGTTTCAAACTACCTCTGCTTTTAACATGCTTTGACTAGGTCACCAGACCTTGACATCTACTATACAGCTTTTCTCACTACAGCTCTCTGACCTATATAGGAGTGCATCAAAATACTTTTACCTCTCATCTCATCGAGATGCTTCAGTAAACACAACTAAAATTTTACCGAAATACATCAAAACTTAAAATGGTTCAATTCTTCGCCATTGTATTTGAGAGCAAAACTGACACTAAATAAAATGCTCTGCTGCCATCTACTGGAAACACAAGAACATTACAAGTAAACGCCGCTGGTTTCATCTGAGAGTTGAGCATTGAGACCCGCGCCTTCCCTTGACGATTATGCTGTATGACCATCTTTTGATCGGGGAAAATGACCAGCACCAAACGTGGGTTTCAGTCTTTCTGCCGTGTCGTGCTAAAGTTTCACCTCAACTCAAACTGCGCACTGCTTTCTGTAAAAGCTTTAATAACATGTGAAGAGTGAATGACGTTTTTCTCAAACAAATAAATCAGTGCACCTTGGCGTTGTCTTGTTCCTGATTGGTTAGCTTGCTGAGCGTGTCCTCCAGCTGATTGGTCAGTGAACTCCTGTCTCTGTGCGCTCGGTCCAGCTGCCCCTCCAGCGCGGCTACCTGCTGAGACAGGCTGGACGCCTACAACACAAACAGTAACTTTAAATAACGTTTAAATGCATAATTTGAATATGAAACATGAAATGATGTCTTCATATTAAACATTGCAATGACATACTTCAATAGAATTTATTGAGATTTGTAATGGATGAATGAATCAATGGTAAAATGCTTATTTTTTTATTGTGGGATGAATTTATTTTCAGTTATTTGAGTCGATACTTTGTTGAATCACCTCTTGGAATATATTTGCACTTTTCACATCTTCAAAGTCATGTATCATTTTCTTCTTGATAACTATGTTACAACCCATCACACCGAATCACAATAAAATACACTGACGTATTTGGCTTCAAGATGTACCGTTTGTGCTAGCTCTTCTTTTTGTTTGCGTGCCTCAGCCCGGCCCTCCTCTCGGGCCTCCGCCATCTTGGCCCGCACTGCATGCGCCTCTCTGTCCAGCTGTTCCCTCTGTCGCGCCAGCTCCCTGGATAACTGCTCACACTGCATCTCCACCTACTCGAGTGCAAACGGATGCAGAGAGCTTGTCAGGAGTGGTGGAGATAGAATATATTTGCATATAACTCAGGGACAGTACGTTAAAGAATATCCAGAATGAATCCATGCGAGAAGCTACTGACCCTAGTTTTTTGTAGATTGGCTTCTTCAGCTATCTCCACAGCCTGTTTGACCTGCAGGCAGGCTGACCACTCTCTCTGCTGGGCCTCTTGTTGACTCGCTCGCACCGCACGCAGAGCTGCCAGCAACTCGTCCCGTTCCCTGACGCGCAAAAACGAAACACCATGAGCACCACGAGCTCTCTCTCCTACTGCCAACCTGGTTGAGCTGACTTTGCTTTACTTTGTGAGCCTGTCAATAGCCTGCACATGCAGATTTGCATGAGTTCCAGCCACCACCGCTTCATGCTGCGCACACTGCAGACACAACCCGGCGACGCGGGGAGCTCCGTCGGCCTTCAATGCTTCTGCAACATGCTGCTCTTTGTGTCTCAGACGAACCTTCACCTCCTCACACTCCTTCTGACTCACTGAGAGATCCTTTCTGTTAACAGAAGCAAAACGTTTAAAAAGGTCAAAGGAAATGACGAGGGAGGGAGAATATGCTACATTCTTCTTTATGATGCATCAAACTGACCTGAGAGAGACGAGCTGAGCCTCCAAGCTTTCAGTCTGGGCCTGGTGGATCACTTTTAGCTGCTCCTTTATCAGGGACAGAAACTGAGTCATGAGATGATGTTTGTGTAACAATCTTCCAGTGAGAACATGCAGCAATTTCAAAGCAAAATGAGCAAAAAATACAAACAAAAAATGAACTCGACACCTTCTAAGACTCTGCTAAGAAGCACAAAGACTCCACCATGTGTCACACAGTTGAACTTTAACAGCATTCTGATGACAAAGGGATTAAGCCACTGCTGACTGATTGTATTAGGCTTAAGTACAAAAGTATTTGCCCCCTTTCAGGTTTCTTTTTTGCCACACTTTTGCATTTTATATCAAGGATTTGTTTTTAACATTGACTAGTAAGACTTGAGTAATACAAAAAGCAGCTTTTAAATAAGGATTTGATTGACTTACGGGGGGCGGGAGGAGCTAGCTAAACCAACCAGGAATAAACAACACTTGTCAGATCATAAATGAACTTTTAAAATTTATTAGAAAACTGAGTTCAATTTCACTGACCACACCCAGCTGACAACTACAAGATCTTGCAAAGAGAGAGTTAAACATTAAAAATTGGTTGGTGATCTAAAATATTTCAGTGTGAAACACATTTCTATGGACTTGTAAAGTTTAAAAGTGACTGGAAAACAGGAGAGAACACAATATATGTCCTTACCAGGTCATTTTTCCAGGTGTTATGCTCTGTTTTTGAGTTTATCAAATTGTTGTTTTGCACCTAAAGAAGCCAACAGGAAATATAATGAAGCCTCTAACTAATATTATTTCATTACTTTTAAGCAATCAGGATGATAATTATTATTATATTACCATAGAATTGTGGATTGGATAATCTTTCAAAGATTGATCCACGATCCTGGATTTGAACTCAGACTGCAGCTTCTCATTTTCAACCACCACCACTCTGATCCGCTGCTTCAGTCCCTGCAGCTCCTCCTAAAGACACAGAGTGCACAGTAAACTGGTCAAAACGTAGGCAAATTAGAATTTGTATTAGAAAATGTACATATATATTATATATAAGCATTTTAGGATGTGTATAACTCCTTCAAACAAATGTCATATTTGTCGTTGGAGCATAACTATTTTATTAAATGCAGCCTTTTGAGCATGTAGGGAAAACTATATTTCACAATGTGACATAATTGTTTTGTGTGCCAAGGCAAAAGAAGCCTGCATAAAATATTATCGACAAGTGTGTCAGTAATTTCTCCCCTTAGTGAATTTGTAAAGCAAAAACAAATATATATGCAATTATTTTTCCTCCACTAAAAAATTGTACCAAAATAAAAGGTAGGATTACAAGTGTGAGATTATTGTATTGTCTTAAAAGGTAAGCTTACATTAAGGATTTTGAAAAAAAAAAAAAAAGTTTTAGCACAAACCTTGCAGAACTTTACTTCAGCTTCCAGGTGCTGGATGTACTCAGACTGGTCATAATTCATTGGAACCAAGTCCTGAAAGGCTGGTAAACTGGACCTGCCATCCTGACGCACTTTCTAAGGAGAAGAAAGACAAAACAGTCATAAAATGACGCACCAGTAGAGTACTGAATTTACAGATAAGTCTGCAAGATTTTCATCATAAGATTATTAAAGAGGCGTTTTATTCTAATAAACACTTCATATTAGGGAATAAAATCTGTAACAATTTAATGACACATGTCTACCTTAGATGGAGATTGCTTCCCTGAAGGGGATAAAGAGGTGGGGATTTCTCTGCCTTGCTTCAACAGGAGGCTCTTCAACTGGTTAACTGCACACACAACAAACAAAGCCAAGCCTCCAGTTCAGCTCCAACAACATGACCATTAATCTGAAGTGGTGCGCTTCAAGTACAGTGTCGATGGCAGACAGCAAATTTACAGTGTAATAGTGACTCGCCTGCTTCACTCTGAGTCTTGTGACTCCACGCTGTCTTGTCCTCCTCAGCCGCCGTGAAGACGTCACCTGCAGCGGGTCGGACATCCTCTCCATCAGGGTCCAGCTGGTCCAGAGCACTGCTCAGCTGTTGGAGGCTCTGGTTTGCCCATTCTGAATAAACACAAAGGTGAAAAGTATTTATTTATTTATAGAAAATACAATTAGAAAACACAGGAGACTTTAGAAGCTGAAGGAAAAACAAAAATGTCACTATCCTTCTGGATGGTTTGAAGGGATTAAAGTATCATGACTCAGAGAATAAATAAGCTAATAAATAACTTACATACCAGGGTTTCCCCCAGTGTATTATAAACCTGGCGTCCCACCAATAGGTTTATAGTTTATGCATTTAAACCCGACAGCGCGGACCAATCACACCGCTGGCGTCTCTGCGCTTTGCCTCGCGCGCTGTCTTTTCACTCAAACTGGACACAGGCTGACCTGTATGGCTATTTACATAAACCTACTGTGAGGAATTA